CCCCCCCACCAAAAAAGTTGCTATAAAGTCACTCTTAATTAATTACTGTAACGGTTCACGTCCTTAGTCCTCCACCGTTGTCCTTCCTCCTTCCTGGTTCTAGTGTAAAGTGACGTACGTTTTATATCCTTGGAGTCTGTAGTGTGACAAAATATATACCAACACTGAACTGATCGTTTCCAACATTTATTAGCATAGGCAATATTGACAACAGCGTTTAGGAATAGTGCGACCTATTATGTGGGTACCCAATAATATTCTGCGCCGGCGTTAACGTCATAATAGTGACTTTCACTCAGTAAAATAAGACGCAATCCTGTACACGTAACAATACAGGTAACACACATTTGGTACAAATACAGGTAAAAACAAGCATACATTACAATTCCAACTCCTTGATAAGTCACATTCAAAGTCCCCAATAAAAAGTCGGAATTCAGATATATAATTTGAAAATAATGTACATTAGCTATATATGCATGCATAGGGATGTTAATTTAGTCAATAATAAGGCAGATGTTTTAATAGAAATAGTTCACTGGACTTATGGCATGTCAGTCTCTCTTGCAACCCAAGTCCTCTATATACTTCATCTCGTATTAAACAAACAACAACCATGATATATGCAGGTAGCTACTCGGCTGATGGAACGACAGAACAGGCATTTATTATAATTGCATTTGATGCGATAAAGACGTTTCGATACAATTTTGACAAATTCTCTCCACAACCCACAATCTCTCCCTCTCATTGCAAATCGTATTTATCTACAAAATCCAAGCGCGCCACCCAACCTGCACTCCTTTTAGGAAGCAGGAGGTGTACCAGCCCGTCTGTGCTTCAGGTTTTCGTTTTTTGTTTTGCTGGGGTTTCTATACATCAAACATAAATACGATTCCCATATATTCTCAATGTATTCATGCACATAACATTCCATATATGAAATATATTTAAATTCAATATTAAAAACTTTTACGTTGCGTCTACGTCCGAAGCTAGAATGACACAATAACAACCACCCGTGTCCTACCCCACACACATGCTCCAACCTCATTGGTCAATACCAAATCGCACGAATTACTCGCCCTAATACGATCTTCACGTACCTACAATGTATAGGACAAATATTACGCGCAATTCTTCGAAATGCACGCAAATTTAATTAATTGCTACGAAATGTCACATTATCTGAAGTTTCTTTATACACCTACATGTGGGTCATACAGTGCTTTGTTATTATAGCTGCGGCGGAGAGATGTTAAACATTAGGAACTAAAAAAGGAAACATTCTTTAACATAATTCGATAAACAATACAATTAGGTACGTGTATACAGGGTTGTGCCCAAACTGATTATTGAGGGATCCTTTTCTGTTTTCTTTTCCTTTCTGGGAGATCCAGAAATGATCTGGCTTTGGAGGCAGTTCTAGAGACCAAGCTTGATAATTAAGTGCCCATTTGAGGAAATTCAGATGTTGAGATTTACTACAAGCCAAACTCTAGACATTTTGGTACCCACTAGACTTGGTACCCAACAATAGAATATTTCTAATACTATTTGTACCGATGGCAAATTCTGAAGAACCTTGCATGTAAAATCAGCAATACACAAGAAACAAAAAATAAATAAATAAAAAAGCAACAAAGCAGAAAGCTTAAAAGGTTAGTCCTGCAAAATATTGAAATAACATTGGGTATGTACCGAAAGGTTTCACAAAAATACCAAAATGATGTAGAGTTCTGAAATGTCTGTATGCCATCCTGGCTTCTACTCAAAACTGTTTCCAGTCAGAGTTTGGAAAAGTCTTGGGGGCATGGGTCAGGTATAAATGATCAAAGTGCTTTTAACAATCAGGAAGGTTTTTCTCGATGCAAAATGGTGAACTGGACTACCCCACAGCCTCATTTAATTTGAAGAACAGTTACTGCCATAATAATGCTTTATTTAGTCCCACCCTCCTTTCCTTCCTCTTCAGTCTTCATCTTGTTTTAATTTGCTGCATCAGTTTTAGTTGATTTTGTTGAGGAAGGAAGAAGTGTTATGTCAGGTTGGCCTGTGGGTATAGAGGTTTTGGGGTATATCTATTTTATAATCATACACAATTTTAGCTAAAAGATTATGGCCGTCCTCAGGATCACCAGGAGAGACAGCCATCATGTAAAAAATTATATAATCAGTAGAAATACAAAGAAAGAAAAAAACCTATTTAAGAATTGAGTTTGAAAGTGGAGAAAGTCAAACAAAGCAAGTATTTTACTGTACCATAAGATTCCATTTAGTACTCACCAGTAAGGTCATGGTATGGTAACATTGAGTTAACATTTGAATACATATTGGTGGTTGTTGGCCAAGGTTAAAAGGTTAAAGGTCATGATCACTTGACCCCTTTTGAGGTATAACACTTGTATACAACATATTCTTATAAATCAATTTGCAGATTTAGTTTATATTTGCACCATGGTATAGTAATATTGAGTTCCGCACCCGAATAAAAGTTAGTGGTCGTTAGTACTAGTTAAGGTAAAAAGATTAAAGGTAACTTACCACTTCTTTGCTATAAAATTGTGTATGGCATATCTCATTAACGACCAATTTAACGTGAGGTCTGCATCTGATGAGATTTTAGTTGTCAACTTGTCGTTGATCAAGACTGATTGGTTATATGTTGTCATTAGTCAAATTTAAAGGGTCAAAGATATCTCTTTGAAGGGGATGGGGATATATCTATTTGTTCCACTCTCTTTGTTTTTATTTCTGAGAATTTTCAAACATTAACATGAACATTTTAGGGAAAAGGAAATTGAAGTGGAGAGGAAGCGGCGAGAGGCTGCAGAGGAGAGACTTCATGCCTACCTTGTTGATATGTATAATGATGAGGGGGAGGTGAATGATGAACTCCGCCATCGACTGCCACGTTCTAATAAAACTGACCCACTAAAGTCAAAGTCGCAAGTGGAAGAGCAGATAGAAGAGGTCAAGGAGAACCAGGTGGAGGCTGAAACAACTGATGGCGTACTAGCTGCTTCTGGTCAAAACATGGCTGCCGCAAGGTCAGTAAAATCATTATCAATGTTAACGATGTATACCAGGAAATTTTTGCTGCAGTTTAATTTTTGATATTTTTGCTCTCCATGATGAGGGCAAATTTATCATAATGAGGGAGAACATTAGTAAACAACATTTTATGCATTGTAAATAAATGTGAAGGGTGAAATTAAAACTGGCCAAATAGGGATTTTACCTGCTGAGGGCAAAAAGTTTGACTGGGCGAAAATTTCCAGTATCACTTTGTAAAAAAATATTGTACAAAATTGTTATAGCTGTCAACAGGTCATTCAAACCATGAGATGATGGAACACATTGTACGGAATCTTTATTAACCCTTTAACCCCTATGTTACTTTAGTAGACTCTACCATGCATTGATATGGACCGGATGAGTCCATTACGGTCTACAGTGGTGAAAGGGTTAAAGTCACTTAAACTATGAAATAACAGATGATATTGTACAGAAACTTTAAAACATTGAAGAAACATTTTCCCAAGAATCATAATTAAGTTTTTTTGTTATATATATGCTACTTGGATATAATATGTTGACCAGCAGTGTAAAAAAAAATTCTAATAAATTTAGCAAATTTTAGCAAATTTAACTTTGAGCAGTGTCTGGGGCCAAATCTCAACATGGGCAATAATATCTGATCAAAGTACTGAAACGCTAAAACTGTTAATGCAGGGTTTCCCCTGTTTTGATGAAGGTAGCGACTAGACAAAGAACAGATGAACTTAGTGTTGACGGGTTGTTTTAACAAAACACATGAAACAAGTGCTGATATAAAGATGTCTGGAAACTATAGAAGTAAAAGATAATTTTAATAAACGAGGCAATTAAGTAAATTTCAAATAAATTTGATTATTAGAGACATTTTAGGACATACAGGCACTGAAGCTCATACAGAAATAAAAGCCAGTTGTGCAGAGTATAAATAAATGGGATATACTGGATATACTTCAACAATCTAGTTTATTTGGAAACACTTAACCTTATCGAGGTGTCACACGAATAAACGGTATGGTTTGTGTTGTTAAAGAGCACTTTGACTCGATTAACTGTTATTTTTGATGCTTTGCCTTCTATGGGCCATCCTTTTTTTTTTTACATTTCAATTTTGTTTATTGATTTTCATGTAAACAATTACATTAAGACCAGAGACAAAACATTACATTACATTATAACAATTCATTACATTACAATACCCATAGGATTATATACATGTTTGAGTTCCAACATGAGCACTGCTAAATTTGGGAACATCAGAAATTACACTCTGCACCGATATTTTTTTTTTAAATATACATATTTATTAACATGCCCTCACATACCTCCACCTTCATCGGTGATTTAGTTGGATCTAAACACAATAGTTTCAGAATAAAATATGCAAGTTCATTTTGAAGCAATTTGTTCACCTACATGTAGTTTCTTCCAAGTTTTTTTTAGCAGCGCCCATAATAAAGTTAATTTTTAGCTTAGCTTTTGCTATAGATAAGTACACTTAGACGAATAGACATACAGCAAGACCAATTTCCATCATCAGTGCAATATTCATAACATACCGACAAAGACTTTGTTTCTATGGGCCATCCTTAATACTCCAGGGGTTACGCTCACTCTAGTTCTCTGAACCGCTGTCATGTGTCATGACGAAATCGAAGGCACATGGTAAGCAATTTGATTGGTCTGGGGTAAAAAAGCCTGAAGATTACAGAAGAGCCACAGCCGAATTCAAAGCCAGTCAATTTTACTGTTAGTTGACCGCAAGATTTTTTTGATGTACATTAAAAGGATCAAACTAGTCTTCCTGTCTTTTCCACAAGGTGGTGCACACAGAGCCTTTGATTTTGCTATGAAATATTCCAGGGGTGCAGAGGACGTAAGTGAGCATAACCCCTGGATATCGAGGATGTTTATGGGTTAGCTGGTTGGTTGGTTGGTTAGTTGATGTATATAATGTTACTCATTCCGTTCCCTCGTGTTGTTTCACATCCCATCTCTCATCATCCTAATTTATTGTCATGACTATAAACCAACTTCATTTAATTCTTATTAGATTGTCATCAAAGTTTATACAAAGATTAAGTATGAGTCAGATAATACCTCTGATGAGTTTGTATTTCAGGGTCCCAAGGTCAATGCCAAGGTCACTATTACTATTTATAGGTCAACCACAGTGTCAAAGGGGCATTGATGTCCTACAGATATTTTCTACTTAATTGTAATTTACATTATGATTTTAAATAATTTTTATTATGATAATTATCAGAAGATATCATAATTATACTTATTACCCATGATTTATAATAACAAGATTTGAAGACATACATGGTGTTCTTTTCCTTAAAAATATGGTAAAAATCGATGATTATTAATGAAACGATGTTACGCTGTGATGCTGCGAAAAAATCTCCCTACTTAAAATTCAATCTTCCTACTACAAAACACAAATCTCCCTACTGTGGGTTCAAAAATCATCAGATGTATGGTAATATTTAGCAGAAAAAAGGAAACAAGCAAGAACACTTGAGATAAAAACAACATCACACAGTCTGCATCATATAACATGTTTTTATATGAATGTACTTATCCTTTTTTGTGTAGCTTGTTGATATATTTCATTTCTTAGGTTCCTACTTTTTCTGCAGTATGTCCCTAGGTTCATGTCAATTTAAGTCATTAAATCCTTAACAAACAAACAAAATATGTGACACCATATATAAAGTATTTTTTACTAATTTTTGAAGAGAGACATTAGCTAGAGTTACCTCCCTTCGATCATTATTTTGCCAGGACTAGTAAATCTGGACAGTTGATAATATTTCACTTAACATTATCTACAAAAATATTAATGATATGCTATGGTTTAATAAAATTTCTTGTGATATTTTAAATATTTTGTATATTGAACAATTTTAATCAAAATTGAATACAAGAAAATTTTAGTTGATTTTCATGATGTGATCTTTTAATGAGGATGACAATTAAATTTAGATGACAAAAAAACGGTTTGAATTTTAAGATTCCTGTGCCATCTGTACATCATGATCAAGACTTTGTAACAATGGTTCATATCAAGCCCTGACCAGAACGTTGTGACACCCTGTCTTAGATTTAATACCTCCCTGGCCAATTTAACTTTAAATGTAATGTCATTCTAGCTTACCCAACACCTTTTACACTCAGGAAAGAACTTTGGAACACCATGGCCAGGATTTCATAACACTCTGGCACGAACCAAATTTCATTGCCACTGCAAACTAAACAAAGTAATGGGGGTATATAGGTGTAGCAGAACTGGACGGGTTCCATCATTGGCGACCAGGTAGCTCAGTTGGTGGAGCCTTCGTCTACAGTTTGGAGGGTCCCGGGTTCCAACCCCGTTCTGGCTGTGCATTTTTCCGTTCCTGTTACATAGTAATTGCTTTGTTGGTGCTTTCCCCATACTATCTCACAAACCACTCCACAGATTTAGTTTGGACTTACACCAAGTATGGCGACATCAAGTTCTACACCTTATCAATTTTTGGTGATCATCAATCATTAATGATCACATCTGACTGCTTTAGGAGAGTGGGAGTTCGGAGTATTTCTGTAATAGGAAGGAAGTAGCGAAAAGAATATGTGCATTTGTTGGGGATCGAATCCACGACCTCAGACTTTCTAGTTGGATACCCTCCCACTGAGATAAAAAGGAAATTCCCTTTAGTCGAAGGCTCGAAGGTAGTAATGCAACTTTGACACTACCGGTATGTACAATGCACATCCTTTACACTACTTCCCCAATTTTCCAATCCATGTCTTCATCCTTGCAGACAACCACAACTCAAATTGTTTTTCTCCCCGCCAAGGCTTCAATTAACGCCTCAACGGCACCAGTATGTGATAGGAAGTAGTTGAAAGAATATGTGTGTTTGCTGGGGATGGAACCTGTGATCCCAGACTTTCTAGTAAGGTTCTCTACAGCTGAGCTAATTAAGGTCAAACAAACAAATTTGCCTGTGTTTCTGCTTTCATTTTTTTAGAGAAAATAGGGTAGGTAGGTAGGCAATTTTTTTCATTTTGGAAAATATTTTTCTGTGCTTATGTAGAGCAGGAGTTCTGACTTTAACAGTGCATATCACTAAATGCCCATACAAATTTAGGGTAGGCACAAAAATCTGGGGAAGGTTGGGTTAGCGGAAACACAAGATTTTTTGCATTTGGCCTGAAGGATATGCTAGTAAGGTGACTTTGCCACTCAGTACAATGTACATCCTTTACGTTTCTATACGAACCTAGCTTTCTTTGTTTCTCTATAACTTAACTTTGAATTACCGAATTTCTGACTAGTATCAGTCATTCATGTTTGGAGAAATTATACAACCCTTTTGAAATACTGATTGTCTGTCCAAGTACAATCAAATGTTTTGTGGGATTCGTAATGAAAAAAAATCTGATGGTTGAAATTTGAAAGTTATGTTACGGAGTACCAGGCACGAAGTCTCATACAAAAAACGTTAAGCAATACCAGAAAAGAAACGCTTCTTATTGACTGAATATCAAGATTATGGATTTCTTTTTCCTTGTCCCACTTATAATTTCATAATGTAAGATTTGTGATAAATTGTCAATGGAGAAGCGCTGAAGGTGTGTTCAGTTCCGCCCCCTTTTTAATAAAATTATGATAGTTTTTTTTTTTTTTTTTTTTTGATGATGTCACTTTTCACATCAGGTCTTTGAGTCATAGATATTGACAAGGTATAATTATATAGGTCATGTGAAATAATCTGACACCGTTTAACTTTTGTGATCATCCAATTTTTATAATGTTGGCAATATTAATATTCAGCTTAATCACATTAATTCTGTAAAGTTTGTAAATCTTATTTTGATATTTATGAGCTTTTGTGTTCGATATTTGAATCAATTCATGATAAGGAAATTCCTCCCCAACAGGCACTATGTTAGAGGGCGGTGTACATGTGTAGACCATAATGGACTTATCCAGATCAAT